ATACCCAGTGAGTTTGCCTTGATACCTAGTGAGTTTGCATTGATACCCAGTGAGTTTGCATTGATACCCAGTGAGTTTGCCTCGATACCCAGTGAGTTTGCCTCGATACCTAGTGAGTTTGCATTGATACCCAGTGAGTTTGCCTTAATACCTAGTGAGTTTGCATTGATACCCAGTGAGTTTGCCTCGATACCCAATGAGTTTACGTCGATACCTAGTGAGTTTGCCTTGAGACCCAGTGAGTTTGCATTGATGCCTTGTCAGTTATACTCAATTAATAGTTCTTGCCGTACAGTAAAAATATTTTCTGTATTTGATGAATCATTGATATTTTGCTGTTGGATGAAAGAGACTTCAGGTTCCATGTATGATGTGCACTTTTACTATATCTGTTATTGTGTACTTTGATAGTAAAAATCAATCCTGTGCTTGTAACAACCTCTATATAAGGGATATCTTTCTAAGTGAGCACTTTTAGACATTCTCACCTTTTAACAATATTTGTGCAGATTTGCCTTTGTGTAGATATTAAAATAATAATTGGCATTCTGTTTAAAAAAAACAATTTTTAATTTCTACAAGTCAAACTTCTTTGATTTTAATTTTAATAAACTTATTAGTAAATGTCTTTGTGGTTGCAACAGTACTATCTCATATTTGTCTGGACAAATATTTTGTCTACCCATAAAAAAAATTGCAACCTCCATCTGAAGTCCATATACATGTTTGTCTATATTTGTGAATATGTAATTTGAAACATCAATTTACTAATTATTTGTTTTTTTCTCTCCCCTGCACACTGCTTATTATGGTTACATTTATATTCATTACATGGTTGTCACCATCATACACATATTTAACAATGGTTTCAATTGGGTATCTTTGTTGCTAACATCATAATGCGCTTTTAACAATGGATGTACTAAACTCATTGTACTAAAACACCATGTGCACATTATCTATTATCACTCACTGCGTAATAATTCTGTGTCGTTAATCGTATAATCATCGCTTCACCACAAAAACATCACCTTAGGATGAGTATATGGCAGTAATTCGAGGCACAAGAATCTCCTCCGATCTCTCTCCTGTAGTGAAGTCTAAGCCTGAATCAACAGATTTTCAAGTGGACTTTGGGAATGATAGTACTACAACGAGGACTGTAAACTCAACTGCACAACCTGATCCCCTGGTGAATTTTGGTGTTTCGGACTCGCAGGTACCTGTAGCTGACGATCCGTTCTCTGATGACACCGACTGGATGGGGGAGATTTTGAAAATTGAGAAGAAATGGCAGGGTCACATTGACCCATTTGATCCATTTCAGTACACGCCGACTACTGAACTGAAATCAACATCCGATGTTGCCAGCAATAAGCCAAATGATTCTCCGCAACCATCCACAAACCAAGCCAGTAATAAGCCTAGTGTTTCACCACAGCTCTCCACAAACCAAGGGGATAATTTGTTTGATGATATGGATTGGTTGAGAGAAATTGAAAAAATAGAGCAAAAATGGCAAGGTGCACCAATAGATGAACAGGTAAAATGACAGATATCTGTAAATAAAATTTATCCAGCATAATTATTTGTATTATTTTTGTAATATAAATCGAAAATCATTTAGTTCAAACTTTAGTAGATATAAAAATACAACTTGTCCTATGACTTGTGAGTCATGTGATGTGTTGAACTTTCAAGCAAGGTTAATTGCATGTTTGATTAGTAATAATAATAATATGTTTATTATACTACTTTGTGAATGCTCAAGTTGTGTTTGATTTTTGCTAGAGTTATGACTCTCAGGTACAAAACACATGATGGGAGTCTTTGAAGTTATTCTAATAAACTGGTATGTAGATGATACAGAGCAAAACACAGCCCTGATTAGTTTTGGGTTAATTAATATCTGTGCATTAATCACATAATTTGCATAATAATTATTAGTAATTAGTATCTCATGAATCAGTCTTTTAAAAAGTTTTAAGACAATGTGCAGAAATAATTAGTTTTTGGTTAAAAACTGTGCAGATATTTACCTTGTTTGCATAATAATTTTCATTTTTTCTACGAATATCTCAAGAATCAACCATTGTATTTCAATTAAACTTGGTATTTAGATACTCAGTGACACACATGGATGTTTAGCTTAGCATTAATATTCATGTATATTAATTGCCTAATTTTGGTGACTTTTTCATATCTCTACCATTCAAATTCAATTTGGTGCATAGGTGCTCTGGAATAAATAACTGACTACAAACCATGCACAGATGTACAATGAATACCATGGCTCAGATTTTTTTTTCCACATTGTTCTTCTCAAAGATCATTAGCCATAGTAGTCACCAAACATCTTGTTACATATGTAATTTTAAATTAATTTCATAAACATTCATTACCCTCAGGCACACAGGGGTTCATTCTAAAGTTTTTTTGGTTTTAGTCACATCCAGAAACTTGCCAGATTTTTTTTCAAACTTGTTGAGAACATCACATATGGTGGGTTGATCTAGCACATTGTTTTGTATCGCGATAACATTCAATATTCTATTTTTCATGTGATTTTTAGT